CCACACATTCAGTGGAATTAAAAGAAGTTCAATACATTTTATCAAATCAATCACAACTAAATAGTATATAAAGATGCTGTATGTGTGCATTTAAACTAAGTTCTATTTGAGCTCAAGGCTTCTTGGACATAAGAATAAATTGATCTGTCTCTAATGCTCAAAATGGAGGTAAGTAGAATACATTTCTAAAAATTACTAAATAAAGTTACACTAAGTTTTGAGTGTGCTAAGCATTCATTGCATAGTCTATTTATAATTCAGATTTCAGCAAAAACCAAATTATCGGCTAGGAGAAATCTGACCTACTCAGATTCAGCTTCTACACACCTTATTGTTTTATATATAATGCTATTTTGAATATATTTGTAAACTCTATGGAAAATATGAACTTTAAAGCAGGTTAGTCTTTGGGTCTAATCTTCAGTTTGCTACTTAACAGTTCTAGGAAATTGGGAAAGTAATTTAGTTTCTCCAAGCATGAAAATTTAGGATTCTACCTACAAAATTAATGTCTTATGAATGAAAACAAAATTTTTGACAAGCTTCTGTGTACTGATAAGTCAATCTAAAATATATCAGCTGTGTGAAAAAATGACTCCTTTATTCATCCTTATACTTCAGCAAAAAGATGATGTGTGGAAGTCTATTTCACTGGGATAAACTTAAATTAACAGTTTTAGGAGAATATTAATCTCATAATGTAGCAGGAGACAAAATTGACATTCAAAGCTGTTAACTAACTTGCCCAAGAATACAATGACTTACTGGCAGATTTGGGACTAAAACTTGTTACCTTTCTTGTCTCAATGTCCTTTGCATGGTGCAGCTTAAAAGGATGCTTCCTTTTAAGACTATGGAACCTCATCTTTTTGAATATACAAGTTCAGATAGAGAATGAAAAAATTCAAAAGGGAGATGACAGATATAAGACCAAAACACAAGAAAGATAAGAGGTCATGATGTGTATTCATCTATGCAAGTATCCTAAACTAGGAGTTAAAATATTCTAAGGTGATCACAGGTGAAAACTGTAAAGATCCCATTAGCAGCTTTCTAAAATTTTCTTCTATTAATTTCTGTTTTCATCTAGTTATTATGCTTTCTTTCTGATCTGCTAGGGATTTCGCATAATTAAAATGTTTTGCTTTGCTGTCAATTTAAATGCTTGCTGTTCAAAATGGGAGTAATATTACCTTAAAATGCTGGCAATGTCGTTTTACTGAAAGCAAAGAAATCTGTGCATTTTTAGATACAGACACGATTTCAAGCAATTGGAGCAGGCATTAACAGGCAAGTAATCAGTAGTCTATCTGATATAATTTCAAAGATGCAGATAAGAACTTTTTAGTTTTTTGTTTTGTTTTTTAATTATTAACAAACACTTTAATCCTAAAATTAGGTATGTGTATCAGGATTCAAATTACTTACAACTTCTAAAATACAACATGATAACACAACTATTTAAAGAAATGCTTTTATGAATAGACAGGTATTATAAGTTATTGTGTGTTTAGAAGATGGACTAATATACAAAAATCTAAGTAAAGCAGAATACAAGAATTTGGTACTCTGAAATCTCCCGAATTTTCTCCCCTTTTTGCTTTCCAGCTCCCTCATTGTTATTCTGTTCCAGTACTTCCCACCAGAGTGCAAATATTTTCCCTCTTCCTTATGTGCTGACTAGAGGACATAACGGGATAGTACATATAAGAGTATACACTAACTAATACATTATCTTGATGACAAAGCAGTTTATTACTTTTGTAAGTACTGGGTCTCAGAGGGAGGTGTCAACTGATAAAAAAGAAGTCAACTGATTCTTTCCTTTTGCAATCTTTAGCTAAGAGGGCTTCTTGGTAAGGCACTCTGTTGACTGAGTTGTAAGTTAAAAAGCAAGATAGAGGACCTGGTCCCATGTTAGAGGAGAAAACATATGTAATGTCTTCAACAATGAGATAGTTATGTCTTCAATGATGAGATACTTCCTGAGCAACAATATAAAGGGAGAACTTGTAACTGATCCAACCAGAGACACTTTCAAGAATGTAAGTAGCTCTCTTAGTAACTATATCGAACAGCAGGAATATACTTAGCAGTCTTGGATAAACTGGGACATTTCAGTCATCCCAGTAATATGGCTTGAGGGGATCTGTTCAACACTTTTGCAACTCAAGGAAATTGTGAAGTATGTGAAATTTCTCTTTATTGATGCCATTTATTCTATTTTACTTGATTCCTGAATTCCTTGGCTATATATCTATCTATCTATCTTTCTATCTATCTATCTATCTATCTATCTATCTATATATATATATATATATATCCAGTAAGATACAAAAAGCTCCTGCAATCTGTCCTTTAGAAAAGCTCGTTGTAGATTCAGACTGAATTTTAAGGAAATAGTAAAAGCTAAAAAGTTACATTTTTTTACAAAGATATGTACCCTCATGGAGATCAAAGTCTTAACTAAAGTAATACTAGTCTGAGAGTGGAAAACAGAGAATAATTTGGTGAGAGGGATCCCTTTTTAACAATTACAAAAGTAATTTTTACTTATAAAAAATTAGAACAAAAAATGGGTTAAATGTATAAGTAAAGTTTGCTTTACCCTCCCCACCTCCATTTTCCTGGGGTAATTTTTTTTCTGCATTCTTCAAGGTGGCTTTTTATTTAGGTATTATTATATATATATAATAGTATATTTTACTAGTATTATATTCTTTTTGTAACCTGATGAAATCATGTTATACAAATGTTTAGTAACTTCTTTTTTATGTACAGATACATTTAAATATCATTTCATATGCATATCTATGATTATATAGCTCGAATTTCTTTTCAGATGAGGGCAAGAAGACATCTTTCAAGAACTAACAGTTCTAGAATAAGTAGAAAAAAATTAAAACACACATTGCTAGCATTTTGATGAACATGTATGAAATTGAAAAATAAACATTCTGATATTAAAAATATAATAAAATAATTAAGAGTATGCCATTAAGATTGCCTTAGGATAGATACATGTTTAGCTGGTGAAATTGACATATTAGTCCATCCATGAAATTCAGAGCTCCAAATAGTCTCTACTCAAAGCATCTCAGGCTTTCTGCATTGCTGTTGCGCTTTCACTGACAACTGCTGTACTTCTGTGTGCTGGACACTATGCAAGGCAATTTATACTAAAGTCACATTTACACTCCACATCATATGGCTACTATGATCTCTATTGTTGGGGCTGATAGTTTGGAGGTTATAGAGAGACTAAAAAGTTGAATTTCAACAGGCAAAGCCATTTCCATTGTTAATTCCAGGAAATTTAAAGTTCTAAAAATTATAATTCCTCTCTGAGCACCACAGACCCTGGATCATTGTAGTTCCTTTCATCCATACTCCTCCATTTCTAAAGGCCAGAGTCTAGGCTAAGTGTGTACATTGATGCTTCACATCATTTATGCTTCACATCAAGACAACTTAGAAAAGCATAACAGTAGTCTTCCCTTATCGGCTGTCTGCTTTTCCACAGTTTCAGTTATCCACAGTCTGAAAATATTAAATGAGAAATTCCAGAAACCATTCATAAGTTTTAAATTCATACAGTTCTCATAGCATGATGAAATGTGTGTCATCCAGCTTAGTCACAACCGGGACATGAATTATCTCTTTGTCCAGCATATTCACACTGGATATGCTATTTGCTCATTACTCACTTAGTAGCCATCTCAGTTATTAGATCAACAGATCACAAGAAGAAGGGTGAGTACAATACAATAAGATATTTTGAGAGAAAGAAAGAGACCATATTCATATACCTTTTATTACAGTATATTGCTATATTTGTTTTATTTTTTTATTAGTTGTTAATCTCTTACTGTGCTATTTTATAAATCAAACTTTGTTACAGGTATGTATATGAAGAAAAAATAGTATATATAGGGTTTGGGACTATGCACTGGTAGTTTCAGGTATTCACTGGGGGGTTTGAAATGTATCCCCCATGGATAAGAGGAAACTACGACATGAACTTCATTTTACAAATGAGAAGCCTGAAGATTAGAAGATAAGAAACATTCTAATGCAATGAAACTAATCAGGGAAGGTAGACATATGAGCCTGTCAACTTTAAATATCATATTATTAAATAATACTCTACAAATTCTATTAGCTTCTAAAGCTAAAAGGATATGTCTCCTTAAATTATGTCTGATAACTTACTAGACACTGTCTACACTGTTTTTTTTTTATTTTTTGTTTTTGTTTTTTGTTTGTTTGTTGAATCGAGGTCTTACTCTGTCACCCAAGTTGAAATGCAATGGCAGGATCAAAGCTCATTGCAGCCTCTACCTCTTAGGCTCAGGCGATCCTTTCCCCTCAGCCTCCTGAATAGCTAGAACTATAGGTTCACGCCACCATGTCTGGCTAATTTTTAAAATTTTTTGTAGAGATGAGGTCTTGCTATACTGTCCAGGCTGGTCACAAATTCCTGGGCTCAAGAAATCCTCCTGCTTTGGTCTCCCAAAGTGCTAGAATAATGTGTGTGAACCACCATGCCTGGCAACAATTTGAATTGATCCCCACAACATGGGAATCTCATTGGCATTAAGGAGAAAATAAAATGAATTCAAATAACAGGAATTATATGTATATTTACCCAATAGTAGATATCCAGGTATAAAAAATGCGAAAAATGCATTTAAAGAATAATAAAATATCAAAGGATAAATTCTGGGAATGTGGAAACTGAAAATATACCTTAAAATTCTTGAAATTCACTTTATTGATATAATCTTACAAAGATACAAGCATTTTTGAAATACTTGGACACATAAATATTTATGCTTTTATCAATACTTTTTTTACATTATTAATAAGATCAGTCTGCAATGTTATGTAAATTGTTAGCTAAATTATTATAACTAACTGACATAGTCAATCAATATGTGTTTATTTATTAACTTACTGACCTTATATATTGCAGGGAACCAAGAGTTGAATGATTTAACATGAATTGGATAAATGAGAGTGTCCCACAGGAGTTCATTCTGTTAGGTTTCTCAGATCGACCATGGCTAGAGCTTCCACTCTTTGTGGTGTTCCTGTTTTCCTATATCTTGACCATCTTTGGCAATCTGGCAATAATTCTTGTGTCACGACTGGATTCTAAACTCCACACTCCTATGTATTTTTTTCTTACAAATCTCTCATTCCTGGACCTCTGCTATACTACAAGTACAGTTCCACAAATGCTTGTGAACATACGCAACACAAGAAAGGTAATTAGTTATGGTGGTTGTGTGGCTCAGCTTTTCATTTTCCTAGCCTTGGGTTCCACTGAATGTCTTCTCCTGGCTGTCATGTCCTTTGATAGGTTTGTTGCTATTTGTCGGCCTCTTCATTACTCCATTATCATGCACCAAAGGCTCTGCCTCCAGTTGGCAGCTGCATCCTGGATTAGTGGCTTTAGCAACTCAGTATTGCAGTCTACTTGGACCCTTCAGATGCCACTATGTGGTCACCAAGAAGTGGATCACTTCTTCTGTGAAGTCCCTGCACTGCTCAAGTTGGTCTGTGTTGACACAACAGCAAATGAGGCTGAAATATTTTTTATCAGTGTACTGTTCCTTCTCATACCTGTGACATTCATCCTTATATCGTATGGTTTTATTGTCCAAGCAGTGTTGAGAATACAGTCAACTGAGGGTCAACGAAAGGCATTTGGGACATGTGGCTCCCACTTAATTGTAGTGTCACTTTTTTATGGCACTGCTATCTATATGTATCTGCAACCACCATCCCCTGCCTCCAAAGACAGGGGAAAGATGGTATCCCTTTTCTATGGAATCATCACACCCATGTTGAACCCCCTTATCTACACACTTAGAAACAAAGATGTAAAGGGAGCTTTTAAGAGGTTGTTTTTAAGGGTCTTAATCCAGAAATAAGGATGTTTAAATAATAGGTCTTGTTAAAGACTTGAATAACTTACAATTAGATTATTTCCAAGTTGCTTTATTCTCATTACTCTTAGAAATAACTATTATGATGATTTCAAATAAAATGCCACTGACAGAGAACCGCATCTGTTTTCTATTACCTAGACATATTCATTGCACAAATCCTGATAACTGGTTTTTTTTGTTTTTTTTTTTTGAGTTGGAGTCTCACTCTGTCACCCAGACTGGAGTGCAGTGGCCGCTCCCGGCCACCGCAGCCTCGACCTGCTGGGCTCCGGCGATCCTTCCGCCTCAGCCTTCCAAGTAGCCGGAACTACAGGCGTGTACTACCATGCCCGGCTGATTTTTTGATTTATTATAGAGATGAGGTCTCGCTGCCCAGGCGGGTCTCGAACCCGCGGGCTCAGGCAATCCACTCACCTCAGCCTCCCAAAGGTGCGGGATTACAGGCTGCGCCACCAAGCCCGACTGATAACTGGTTTTTATGAGCCCCCACAATAGAGTAACAAAATCTTTAAGGTCTCAAGTGTTATACCACTGGTTTATATAATTGGGAAAGAGTCTTTGACTTCTCTGAAACTAGAATAAAAGCTTAGAAATCTTGTCCCTAGGGAAAAAACATTTTATGCACATACGGATACATTCATACTTACACATATGCACAAATTAATATGGCACAAATCATTTTTCAGACAATTGTAGAAGACCTAACAGAAGTCTGTAAAAATCAACTATAGCCTCTTCTGAATAGCCCTAGCTTAAATTTTAACATTTTTCCACATCAGTATAACACTAGAATCCCCAATGGCTTTTCCTCATAGTTTTGCTTAGATTTCTCATTCTCTCTTTTAAAAAAAACTCTAATCTCATGGCAGATTAGATCATCCATTCTCTTGGTTCTGCACTTTCCATTTCTTCCAAATTGACGTGTCCTATTCTATTCCATCTACCAAATAAAACTATAGCTACATTTTAAACCTAAGTCAAATAACTTCTTTTGATTTTTTTAAATGATTTTTCTACTGTATATATTATCTTTCTTCTTTTAACCCCTAAAGCATTTAGTTTAAATCATAAAAGACATTATGTGATGAGGACCACTGCTTGTTTAATGCACTTTTCTTGTGTTAACTCCATGTTAGTTTTTTTGATGTACTTAGTTTAAATCATAAAAAAGCACATTATATAATGATGTTACACTGCTTATTTAATGTATTTTTCTTGTGCAAGAAAAGTTTGTTAACTTCATGTTAGTTCCTTTTGAGATAGCATAGAGTGTAATTTACACTGTCTCCATATGGCCTTCAGAATCCATAAAAGTACTAAAGAAAATACTTACTCACTATAAGTTGATATTTGATTTTGTGATTTATTGCACTATAATTATTTTAAATTCTTTTTCAAACTATTTTCTTCTACCAAATATATCATAAAAAAACAGAAAATGAAGTAACTAAGAACAATTAGAATGTTTCTCCAAAAAACTTTACAATAATAACATACATTTTTACCTCAGTGTGGTTTTAATACAACAAGGTAGATTGGTAGCAGATAGCAGACACTCTCACTGTTGTCCTGCTCATTGTGCCCTTCACAACGTATCTTTCCTTTAATAAGTCTATCTTTCTGAATTAAAAAAAAAAAAAACATGGTGGATCTTCACATTTTAACATGCATCAAAATCACATGGTGGACTTTTAAAATCTCTGTTGTTGAGAATCACCCACTCCCAGAATTTCTTTTTTTGTTTTGTTTTGTTTTGTTTCTTTGAGTTGCCCAGGCTGGAGTACAGTGGCTTGCTCATGGCCACCCCAGCGTCAACTTGCTGGGCTGTGGCAATCCGTCTGCCTCAGCCTTCCAAGTAGCTGGAAATAAAGGCTCGCACTACCACACCCGGCTAATTTTTAAAAATTCATTGTAGGGATGATGTCTTGCCAAGTAGCCCAGGCTGGTCTTGAACCCGTGGGCTCAAGCAATCTGCTCACCTCGGCCTCCCAAAGTGCTGGGATTACAGGCTGAGCCACCGAGCCCGGCCCCAGAATCTCTAATGCAGTAGATCAGGGGTCTGAGACTTGACGTTTCTATGAATTCCCATGTAATGCTGATGTTGCCTATCAGAGGACCATACTTTAAGGATGGTTAAAATAAATAAAGGTGTTTTACTGGGTTCCTATTTTTTATTTCTATTAATGAGAATTATAATTAAAGGGGAGATGAGAACAAAACATTGAAAGAGTATATTAAAGTATGAAACTGCATTTCCTGGTGAAAATGCATTCATATCCAAATCCAAATAAATGATAAAACAGATTTCTGGAGACAAATTTTGATGTCATCTCAAAGTCAATGTCAGTGCTTTTTTGTTTGTTCTTGGGCTGGGAGTCTAACTCTGCTGCTCAGGCTGGAGTGCATGATCACGATGATCATGGTTCATGGCAGCCTTGACCTTCTGGACTCAGGCAATTCTTCTACCTCAGTCTCCCAAGTAGCTGGGGTTATAGGTGCGTGCCATCAAGCCTGACTAATTTTGTGGCGACAAGTTTTCACTATATTGCCCAGGATGGTATCGTACTCCTGGGCTCAAGCAATCCACCTATCGGCCTCCCAAAGTGTTGGGATTACGGCATTAACCACCACCCCCAGGCCAATCAATGTCAGTGCTTTTTAAAGAATAATAAGAAAATAGTAGAGAAACCAGAGTGATGGAGGTTGAAGTGTTTCATATCTTCTAAAATTAATTGATTCTATACATTGCATACTGGTAGGTTTTAAAGTAGTTCATAACAAGACTCCATAAATACTTTGCTATCAGATAATTTGTGATATCAATTATATATATATATAAATTATATATATATTATATATATATTATATATCAATACTGGATTAATTTAGAAAAATAAATAATAAACTACTTCATCTATTTTATAGATGTACTAGGCTAATATAGTGAAGAAATGTTTCTCATTACACTTTTGTACAATATGGAACATTAATGACTAAGATGGTAATGCAGTTCTGTTTGTTCCTATCTGCTTATAAAACCTCATTCAAAAGGTAATTAATAAAACATTACCACCATGGAAAGAAGGTACAATTGTTACAGGATTTGAGTGTTTTATCCTACTAGAAATATGCACGTATCAATAACTTGTATCATTTATTCATTTATTTATTTTGATTTGGGGGTCTCACTCTGCCACCCAGGCTGGAATACACTGTCACCATTATGGCTCCCCACAGGCTTGACCTCCTGGGCTCAGGCGATCCTTCTGCCTCAGCTTCCTGAGTACCTGAGACTACAGGAGTACACCACCAAGACTGGCTCCTTTATGATTGTGGGTCATAAAGCTCTCATTCCAGAGAGAGCACTGCCCCACATCTATGTGCTAATCACATTTCAACACCGTTGTCTATAAAACCTCAAGAGGACAGAGTCTGAAGGTTTTGAGACAGCTGGATATGGTGAAGATTCCTGGAGGATGACACACCTCCAGGAGGTGAGGGCACAGAAACTCCCAGCCCTTTCCCCCCAAATCTCGTCCTATGTATCTGTTCATCTGCATTCTTTGTAATATCCTTTATAATAAACCGGTAAATGTGTTTTCCTGAGTTTTTGAACCATTCCAGCAAATTAATCAAACCCAAAGTGGGGGCTATGGGAACCCCAGCTTGAAGCTGGTTGGTGAGAAGTTTGAGATCTCGACTTACAACTGGTGTGTGTATGGGGGGGGATGTGTTTTGGGGACTGAGCCCCCGATCTGTGGGACCTGACACTATCCCACAGGTCAAAATTGAATTGGAGGACACCTAGTTGGTGTCCACTGAAGAACTGATTGCTTGCTTGATGGTAGGGAAAAAACTCCCCTTACATTTGATCACAGAAGTCTTCTGTGTTGACGATTATTGTGGTGTGCGAGCAGAGGAAAACATAGCTTGAGAGTTTTTTTTTTTGAAACAGCACTTCAGATTGATTCCACCTCCTCTGTAAAGACTTCCTACACTCATGCTCACATGTGGGTATCCTATAATCCTCTACACTGTATCTTTAAATTACTGCCTTGTACCCTTAGCCATGTCTTCAAGGTATTTCTTCTTTTCCCTAACACTTGTTGCTTTAAGTTTGGGATTGTTTTTTCTTCATCATTCATTTTGTCACTCATCTGTGTCTGGTATAAGACTTTAGACATCTTGTCTCTCCATTAACTTGAGTGATAATTATATTTTTAAAATATATTTGTAAGCTATAGATAGTCCTGTATTCAGTTTCTGATTCCATTCATTATCAGCTAAGTATATGACAACAAGTAACTTAACCTCTTTATCCCTCAACTGAAAAAATTAGGCAATAATCTTGGCTCTGGAGTTGTGTTTTGTTTTGTTTTGAGAGATTCTTAGAGAAGTAAGTGCTGGTATGTAACAGGCACTCAGTAAGTTATTTGGTTTTGTAAATTAACAGGATTCTTTCAAAGTTCTTCAAATATACTTTACCTGCTAAAGAGACAAGTCCATTGATATTACATCAATCCTCTTCTCTGGGCTTCAGTTTCTCTGCCTGTAAAATGAAGAAAGTTAGGCCAGGTGACATCTTGAGAAGAGCGATGACACTAATTAATCTGTCTGCAAGTGCCACAAAGTGTGATCATAAGTCCTACATGAACTAGTTCAGTCAATCGCCTGCCTCCCAAGACTTGGGGACCCAAAACCTCAGAGGAGACCTTAGAACGACACTGATATTCACTACATGGAACCTCCCCACCCATTTCTGACATGGTTGTGCCTGGCTCATGCCTCTCTGACTCCAATCTCAAAAGAACTGTTGGTTTAATGGTTGAATGGCTATTACAGAAAACGTATCCATCCCACATAGTCGTTGCAGCAACTTTCAGGGCACAAGTATTTGCTTCAAGAGGCAGGTCAGAGTGTGTGGGCACAAGGGCTTCTTCTGTTCTCGTACACAGAGATGTGGGCATGAGGCCTCCTGACAG